CTGGCCTGCAGGTCAGTGAAAATTAGGTCAGTGAAGACTCAGGCTACTGAGTCTTGCCAGGACTTTGGTTCCATGGACATGTTCCTGGAGTCTATGTCTGCAGGGGCCAGTCAAGGGATAGGATCTATTGGTAAGGGCCTGGATTCTGGATCTGCTTGAGCAGACATGTGCATAGGTCTGCTGGAAGTTGAGACCAAGGGGGCAGGCTTAGAGAATAGGTTCAAGGGACCAATGTGGCACTGTGTAGGCTTAAAGTTTGAGTCCATGGGTAATGTCATGTTATCTGAGGTAAGGGTCACTAATTTGGACCCTAGAGGAGGTTTGAAAGCAGCATTATATACACCTAGCTGACTCTGGGCTAGTCTGTAATATGAATCTGGGCTGCAGTGGCTGGTAAGCCTGGAGTCTGGAGACATGGAAGCCAGCCCAATGTATGGATCACTAGAGCTGTCTTGACCTTGGGACAAACCTATAGCCTAATTCAATGGAGTTGACCTGGCACTGGATCAGTCTGGCATTTGGGACAGCTGGTAATCTGGGGATACTGGAGTCCATTCAGCACTGAATATCCTATACACCAAGTATACTAGGCAGATGTGGAGCTATGGCCATGGGATCAAATGTGGCATCAAGTCAAGTCTGAAGGCTCATTATTCCAAAGCAGCCTGAAGTTTAGGGCCATGAAAGTCTTCCTGGACCTGCATTTTACTGGGAAGGATTGGTATTTGTCTCTGAAATGAAACCTGGGTCTCATTTCCTTCTCCTTCCATCACCTGGAGGGTGGGTATGTGTGTTTGTATTTCCCAGGGACACTTTTAACAATAAGATTCATTTCCAGTCATTTTGTTTATTCATTTTATTTTGAGGCAAGGTCTTGCTAAGCAGCTCAGGTTGGCCTCAAACTTGTGATTATCCTGCCTCAGTCTTCCAAGTCACTGGAAATACAAATTCACTCCCCTGTGCCCATCCCTGCAGTGTATTTCTATCAGTGCTGTGCTGCTTGTAGTTAGAGAGGTATAATGATGTAAAATAAATCTGTCCTTCCTATATTCAAAACCTATTTCTTTACATTCTTGTATCACTTAACAGAAGGAATATATTCTAATAAATACATTTTTATATGATTTTATCACTATACATACATTATAATGTGTAGTTACATAAACCTAGATAGTGTAGATCATTCACTTGATGTGGTCTTTGGATATAATTAACAGACATGATAAACATGAAATGTATGAAGTTGTTACAGACATAACATGGCATACTACTTCATGATAAACTTGTTTTTACAGGCACAAGGAGTATATTCTAATAACAAAAGTACAATATAGTAACTACATATACTAGTAGCATAGTCATTTGTTTTTAGTTTTAAGTATTATGTACTATAGACAATCATGTGTGGTATACATTTATATGATTTATATGTGAGGTTTGTTCGCACAAGCTTCACACAAACATGTGAGAAACACATTGAGGTATAATGTTTTCAAGGGTATTGCTAAGCAACAGAAATTTTTTCAACTTCATTATTATCTATGGGAACACTGTTGTGTATGTAGCCTGTCATTGACCAAAACATTGTCATCATGCACCACATGATAGTATTTCTGTGCTATACACAGGTGTTGTCATCTCTTATCTGGTCTCCTTACTTTTTGTACAGATATTTTTGTACAGGGATAGTTGTTCAAGTGGATGTTTCTGTGCATTAAGTAGGAAATCCTATTTTCACTGTCTTGTTGAGTTTACAGAGAATGTCAGATATGTACCATTTTATTTTGATTTTAGAAATGAGGATCCTAAAACTCAAGAGAGGTTGAGTAGCTTCTGCCAAATCATAAACACTCAAATTGAAATCCATGAAATTGAAATCGATAGTCTGTTTTCCTATCTTAAATTTGGGAAACACCAAAATAAACTGGGTCAGAGTACAGAGC